AAAAGCACCTTTTCCAACTAACACATTTTATTAAAAAGCCTAAGTTTTCATGAGCTATCATAAAAAAAAAAAAATCAGACTCCTGATTTTGGGCTACCATAGATGATTGTGAATTTCCCCCTACAATGTCAACAAACACAGCAGTACCCTTGACATGACTCTCAGCTCCCATTCATGGAAGAGGATGAAGCCGGATGATGGGAAAGGCCCCACGGGATTCATGAAGATGCGGATGCTGTCCCCTTTGGGTCTCTTTAACTCATGCAAAGACCTCAACAAAGTTCTAAAATGTTCAAGGGAGTATTTTTGGGGGGGGGGGTAACACGGAACAGGTTATCAGTGTTAATGTTGGCTACTTTTTAACTTCCCTTCTTTTAACAGGCCTAACCGGTGAGGCAACTGGAAGACATTTTGGTCAGACTGGAGGGTAGCAGAGAAAATCAACTGGAGTAAATGTCCTCCAGAATTATAGTGTGTTTTTTTCCTTGAGCAACTGACAAGTGGGGTCTTGTGGTGCCTCTGGAAATTTGGCATCTTAGACCAGAAGGGGCTGCCTCTTCTTAAGGGTCACAGACTCCCAAGGGTATTGTGTGGGTGGGAGTGGGCATCATATGGAATGGTTGATGTGGGTAAAGCAAGTGGGGTAGGGACACCCATCACTCAGACTCCCTTTTCTCTTCCCTCAGTATCTGCTTTTTCTCCCTCAAGCAGCAGACCATGGGGGAATGGACAGATAAACTCTATGAGGGGTGAACCAATTACAGAGAGCATGTGAATTGGATTAAAAGGCACTTTGCCGATGATCAGAGATCTTCTATCATAGGCCATCACCTCCTGGTTCTCTATGACTATGTCAGCTTTGCATGTATGTACCACTTGCCAAACTTTTCCATAACAATGTGCTCATAATAAAGAGTCACTTGGATTGAGATGGGCGGCTACAGAAGTTGAATAAATAGAATAAATAAATAATATTGGCCCTTTGTCTTATGCATCCCAAAAAATGTCCTGCATATACATTAATTACCCCAGAGGCCAAAGGAAATCCTGCCAGGCATGGTTGTGACTCAGCAAACCAAGACGTGTGGTTCATTATTTCCTGGAAAATCTAGAATGCAGATCAGGCAGAAAATGCATTTGTTTCATCCTAAAAACAGATTTAGTTGCTGAAGGGAAAATACTCCAACAGCTTGTTTCTAAGCAGGTTTACTCAGATGCAGATTGTATTAATTTTAATAAAATTTCCTTATAAATGAGTGTAAGGCATTCATTTAAAGTTATTTGGGAATGTCTGTTTAACTGATTAGGGATTGTTTAAAATAAATGCAAATGTGTGTAACTAAATTCCCCTGAAGAGATGCTGGAATGAAGTAAGCTACAATTGTAGGCATACATACTTGGGAATAATCTCCCCAATATTCATGTCTTTCAAACATTTATACCAAGGCTTTTCTCGGGAGGAAACCATCAGCTTCACAAGTCCATTATTTACTGTCCAAACAAGAGAGCCAAGCGTGAGACTTAGTTCACAAAAAGTCAGTGAAAGGCAACATATTAGTAGCAAATCTGGTACTGTAGTTACAGAAACAAAGGAGAGAAGGAAACAGGTCAGCCTGCTCAAGAGAGGGCCAGGTAGTCCATTATTTATTATTGTTTATTATGGTTGGTTGCAGTCAGCCAGATGTTTAGACTGGAACTGGCATTTTTGTCCACCTAGCAAGTCCTTCTCCAGGACCTGGGATAGACAGTTGTTGTTTGATGGTGTTAAAGGTATCCTTGCAGGATGTGAGGTGTTCCAAATCCAACTGCCTTTTGCAATGGACTGATGGTGATTTTGTCAATGCTGATGGTCTTCAGGCGGTGCTCCAGATGTTTTGGGATTGCACCCAAGGCGCCTATAACTATTGGGACTATCTTTGCTTTCTTTTGCCACAGTCGTTCTACTTCTATCTGCAGGTCTTTATATTTTGTGCCCATAGCAAACATTCAATTACATCAGAAAG